ATTTCCCCACTTGGGTTGTATTGGGTTGCAACTAGAGCTCAGTAATTTTCTTTGGTTTCACATTGGTGTCGCCTGAGTCCAGTAGATTTTTTGAAGTCGTGAATGTTGAGTAGGGTTGTGTAAGGTCCATTTGGGTTGTGTACTGTAATAGGTTTCAACCTGAGCTCTGATATTTTCTGTCTTCACATAGGTGTCGCCTGAATCCTGATGATTTTATTGCCGGGGCAATGGATTTGGGTTATGATTTGTTGGTTCGGATTCTACTTTACAATACTGTACAAGGTTACAACTTGAGCTTTGTAATTTTGGAAGTAATTTTCTGTAATTTTTTTCTGCATCTTCACATAGGTGTCACCTGAATGCTTGGGAATTTTTTTTGCCTTAGCTCTCGAATTTGGTTAGAATTGGGATTAATTACGTTTGTAGGATTGCAGTATTATCAGTGTTCTTTATGTTGTGATATTCAAAATGGTCCTTGGAGAATTTATGTCAAGTTGATTGATAGTAAAGATCGACTCTCAAGATGATTGTGCAATTTAGGTCATGAGTATTTCCTTGATGCTTATCTTTCCAAGTGGAGCTGGTGTGAGGAATTTTTCCCTAAATTTTCGAAGTTCTCAAAAAATTGACAGGAAGTCAAAGTTGGATTAATGCCTTGTGTCACTGATTCAAGTGAATTGTGTCTGATATTCCTCAGAAAAGTATCAGGGATTGAAGTGAGACAATAATTCGGTGTGGTCGATAATGCTCCTAAATAGGGCGTAATTGGAGAAGCTTCGCAGTCTCAGAATTATTCATGGGTGTTGTAAATACGTGTTCCGTTATTCTTTTTGCAGAAAGTGAAAGCGGAATATCAACTGATGCTGTCTGAGAGGGAAGTTCTCAGCCGTGATCTCATGTTTGCCGCCTGCCAACTCAAACGTTGCTTGAAAGACAAACCAAACACAGTCCAGTTATCCCATGTGGACCCGGACGTGGAAATGTCTTCTGTGTGATTTATATTTTTCGTATCTCCGGTGTGTCTATTTGGTGAAAAAGAAAAAATTACTGTACTAAAAACGCTTGAAAATCTTGTTTCGCTCTCTGATGTAGTTTTGCGAAGCTAAGCGAATGTTGTAGATATTTTCTGTTGATTTCAGACTGGGGGGTGGAATGAGTGAGTCGGAGGGGTTAGAAACCCCGTCGGTGAAACCCCTGGGGGACTGGCCTGTGCCGATTTTGGTCGTGGAACCCAAGGGAAAGCCGGGCACTGTCAAAAGATGGACGGGTGAGCCAGAAATACCCATATATACAGTATTTTATTTACTCGTCGAATTTTCTGTGACTGGGACTTGTTGAGATTTTATCCGCTGTCGCATAGGTGTCGCCCAAAGTGTTCAGAAAATTTTATTTTTTTGTGGGATGTTTTGGGGTTGGATGAATTTAGTGTTGATTTTTATTAATTATTTTCTGTGACGAGCGGCGGAGCACAGTACGGTATTTATGGATTCAGGCGACATCTACGTAATATTCCAAAACAAAAAACTGGCGTTGAAGCTGGAGACTCACTCCTGTCGCACTAGGTAATTTAGCGAACGAGCGAGATTGATTCTAATTTCACTTGCATCGTTCGATTGATTTAATGTCTTGTCAAATTTGTAAAGATACAGGATGTTCAATGCGTTTTCAATTTTATTTCTGTTTTTTTTTTGTGTGAACAAACGGAGGTTGAGAGAGAAGGGATCTATTTTTTTCTCTCTGCAAAATGGGTAATGTTCTTCACGTTCATTTTCACTCGATCAGCTTCTGTACCATACTCAATTATTTTTTTTGGTTACATAGGTGTCGCTCAAATATTGCTACATTTTTTTTTGGTAATTCTGGTTTTATTCTGTCAGTTTGGGTTTTTGAAGTTAGTTTGTATTTTTTTCAAGGTATTTTTTGGTCTGGTGTAATGATGCAAAAACTAAACTATGACACTTTTTTGCAAAAAAGAAAGC